TTTATCCAAGAAAATGCAACTCTTAAAAGTGTGTGGTGGAAGCTTCATCACCTCTCAAGGAAGTGGGCTGGTCTAAAGCAAAAGTGTTGATGTGTCTCAGGGACAGCTGTTCTCTGTATAAGAAAAGGACTGTGTCACTTGTTAGAACTATTTCTGTGTCTTAAACATTATGCTCAAAAAGTAGACTGCTTTTTCTCTCAGTAACTCAGTGGCTCCCTACAAAGGCACAGGAAAGAGAGAATAGAATATTTTCTGTTGGAAGGGACCTACAACAATCATCTAGTCCAACTGCCCGATCACTTCAGGGTGGACCAAAAGTTAAAGCATATTATTAAGGGCGTTGTCTAAATGCCTCTTAAACACTGACAGGTGTGGGGCATTGACCACCTCTCTAGGAAGCCTGTTCCCGTGTTTGACCACCCTCTCTGTAAAGATATGCTTCCTCGTGTCAAGTGGAAACCTCCCCTGATGCAGCTTTGAACCATTCCCATGCGTCCTGTCACTGGATACTAGGAAGAGATCAGCATCTCCCTCTCCACTTTCCCTCCTCAGGAAACTGTAGAGAGCAATGAGGTTAGCCCTCAGCCTCCTTTTCTCCAAACTAGACAAACGCAAAGTCCTTAGCCACTTCTCGTTGGACGTACCTTCTAGCTCTTTCACCAGCTTTGTTGCCCTCCTCTGGATGCATTCAAGGACCTTCACATCCTTCTTAAATTGTGAGGCCCAGAACTGCACACAGCACTCAAGGTGAGGCCGCACCAATGCTGAATACAGTGGGATAATCACCTCTTTTGACCGGCTGGTTGTACTGTGTTTGGTGCATCTCAGAATGCAGTTTGCCTTCTTGGCTGCCAGGGCACACTGCTGACTCATATTGAGCCTGCTGTCAACCAGCACAAGCACCTGGGATAATGTCCTATACACATCATGATGGACATTATATCCAGACCTCAGCTGAAACGAACAATTTGTTGTATGTATACTATCAGAGGTGGTTTTTACTGCAGTTAAAGTGCCATAAATTTAATCTCCTCATGGAGCAACTTTTACAGTCTATATAGATGCAAATTTTGCTGAGATTAGATGGCCATTTCCAAACCTGAATAGTTGGGTGTTTTGCTAGTATTTAGTAAGTTTCGGAGTTAACTATGTTGAACAATGGTATAAGAATCACGTAAGAATACTAGTGCATTTGAGCTGAATGTTAAGGAAACTGAATGACATTTGCTTAAGGTATTGAGTTAGAAAAATACAAATGCAAATTATCATATGAAGTGTCTGGCTCTTAGAACTGCAATAAAAAGGATTTAGTATAAGCTAACATAAAAAGAATACCCTTTTCTGCTTAAATTTACTTCTTGAATCCAAATTGTTTCATATTTATAGTGCATGTTGCATAATTTCAGTATATTTTTAGGCTAGTAGGAGCAGGTTTCTTTCTACAGCAGATTTCTCTCATATTCACTTTTCAACTTCACTCTTTTAACAAGTACATTTGTTAGACTCCAAATGGGATGTAATTTTTGAACTGTGTCTTATGGTGAACTCAAAGATAAAGCAAATGAAGCAGTTCAGAGGTCAGGATTAATTCCATGCAAAGAGACTTTTAAGATATATTAAATCATTTGCTTTTCCTATTATTCATGTTCATACACCTGACTTCTGCTCCTTCACGTTTGTGATGTTGATAGTGAGCAGATAAAATCACCAAGGCTTTAGTCACCTGACAATTTTATAACAAGCTCTCTTTAGTATGTATATTGTACAGTGCTGATAAATGGTGATGAAGTTTCTGCCACTTCACTGAATATTTTGGAAACGGTATTCAAGGCTTAGAAGAATGACAGGCATTTGGCTTAGACCTGGAAACTTTTATTCTCATGGACTTTGCATATTCTGTGCCAAGACTCTTGACTTTCTCTGTGCTGGTTTTCTCAACAATGCAGTCAGTAGAACATACCTGCCCTTGAGTAAAGTTTACGATTAAATATCAGAATGATTAGAAAACCTCCAATGAGAAGCATAATAGCTGTTGAAAAATATTTAGTTTTTAACCTTGAGTGCCAATTTTCTTGACTCAGAACAATTCTCAAGGCATGAATCAAATAGTCTTGTTTTTGCTGCAGTGGACAGTTTCCTGAAGTGTTTGACTAGAGCAGGAATTGACTGATGGTGCTGATTGAGCTGGTGAG